CTAGATACGAAGGGGAGAAGTGCAGAACTCAACTTGGGTATTTGCATTCTTCCAACATGACTTGATAATGGCAGAGCAAGTCCAGGGGCAAGTGGTTCATTCTGGTCTAGAGGCAAATGAAAGCAATAGAACATACTGTACAAGATAATTAACTGAATGCTCAGAACTGTGTGGGCTTCCCTATACAGAATGGAGGAGAAACAAGTGCTGCTATACATTATCCAGTTTGTTGAACACAGTATTTTCTATTGATTTTAGCAACTTATTATTATTTGCTGACCGCTGCCTAAACTCCAGTGAAGGGACACGTTAAACACGGGAAGCTTTCCAACCCTGGCGAGCCAGTGTTACTAGGAAATGGCTGTGAAGAACAAAACTGATCCTTGTTCCTTTCATCAAGCCCGGGGGCACGCAGGCCCTCCGTTCACCCACAGACATCGTAGGTTTTCCACACTTGGTTGACCAACCCCAGGGTAGCAAAGTGACAACTCAAACATAGTTTCTGGCTTTTCTTCTGTGAGGCATACTATTTCCTTTTAGGGTTTAGGCTGTCATTTCCACATCATCATTTGATATTGCAAACACCAGCTTGCTCACAACAAGCATCAGATATATATATCCTGTGCAAAACCAATGTTCTTCTGCTTGAATTTTGGCTAAATGGGTATCCTAGCAAAATCTGTAAATGGCGAGGCCGCACATCAGAAAAACTTCTGCTGTGGTCTAGTATCCCCTTTTGAGTCTTCTCTGCACACTTAGTAGTCTAGAATTTAATGTTGGGGTGCTCTCTGACAGAAAGCTTCCTGACATCTCTTCCCAGTGTTTGCGTGTGTGTTAAATTTTGGAGGTGTTTTTACGCTCGTCTCTTCAAGAAAACTATTGAAATGATAGTTTGGGAAAAAAAAAAAGCAATTTCTTAAGGCTGGTAGGATGCAGGAGAAAACTGAGAGGAGAACTCATAAAGAGTGTAGAGGTGCTGCGGTCAGTGGTGGTTTTGGGGTTTTGTGAAATGGGGCCCCAGAATACTTCTGTAGCCTGCTGCTTTGGAGGGTTTTTATGTTGAAAATACTCTGTTGTTCTCGGATAAGCCAACATGTTGGCTGGTTTATTTTGTTGTGTGTGTGTTTTGTTTTGTTCTCCTTTTTTTAAAGATGCTAAGAAAATGAAGGAGGAAGGAGTGAGGCTCATCCTGGGCTACTGATAGGTTCTAGTTGCAGATGTGTTGGGGTTTTATCCTTTGGATTTCTCCTGCAGCTGCTCTGTGGTGTTTTCTGTCTTGACTATTTTGTGATGTTGCTGTGTAAATCCAGTATGCGTTCAGAGGTGGTTGTGTTGCAGTGCTGGATGGATTGGTGCCTGCGTGGTTTTTATATTACTTTATGTAAGAGAACTGTCAAACATCTCCTGGAGTGACAAGCACTATATACAAGCAAAGCATTCGCATCAGGATGGTGTTTTTACTGATTTTGTACGATAGACCTCAGCCATGGTGACATGGGATATTCACACCAATGTACTTGTCTTGGTTCACTGACATAGGGTTAGTCTGCGTTTTACTTTGTGCCAGGGAAAGGGAATGCTTTAGGATATTCAGTGGAGCTCACTGATTTCATAGGAACTGTTTATTTTATGTTTGCGATGACGAAAATAGGGGAAAAATCAGGCAATAAGCTCCGTCTTCAAGGCATTGTAAGTTTTGTGGTGTTCCAAGTGCCGTGTAAATCGGTGTCTGGAAACTTCAAATATACGTGAAACAGATTTTATCTATTTCCATATCGATTATGAATCACAGGCCATCCACAGTCAATAACTCACGTGGGCAAAAATCTCTTATGAAGAAAAGCAGCCCTGTAAAGGAACCGAAGTTGTTGCCTCTTCCAACGAAATGGGAAGAACAAACCATTCAAGGACCGTCCTCGTGGCGTGAAGACCACGAGCCCTGGGCTCAGTAGGCAGCTCCCAGCACCCATCTCATTCTGCGCAAACCAGCCAGATTTAATGTCAGATTGTGTTAGTGCCTGATCTCTTCCCTCCTTTCCGCTCTCGGAGGAAGAACAAACGAAAAAGCAAATCCCGAAACAGCCAATGTTTTGCAGAGCTGAGAAGGTAGCTCTGAAGTTTCACAGCTCTTCAATTTACTGTTTGAATATCAGTGACATTTGCTTTTGCTGCAGCAACACACTCAAATTGTCATCAATAAAAGTAGATTCATTTCCACCGAATATTGGTAAGCAGTTCCCTACTTTAAATTATTATCAAATTGTCATCAATAAAACTTGATTCGTTTCTACTGAATATTGGTAAGCAGTTCACTACTTTAAATTATTATCAAATTTATTGGTATGGGACCGCACATTTGTCTTTGCCATGACTATGCCACTTAAAGAGAATAATTGAATTGAGAATTAAATGAGCAATAATTGAAAATAAAATGTGCTTTTTCGAAGGAAAATTGATGCTATGCTAAATTTCCAGGATTCTGCTATGGGTAGGGTTTTTTCCTTAAAAAGGTAGAATAGGTCTGGCTAAAAAGGTAATTATATAAATATGTGCACGTTAATGAACATAATTGGAAATGGACTTTAGCCTTTAAAGGATACAAAGGCTCTTCAGAAACTTCATACAGTTTTAAATTCGGCAAAAGCGGTACAGTATCTGTGATAATTAGACTTTCAACACGTTCAGATATGCTAATTGAATTCAAGTTCTAATTAATTTTCTTGTGTAACTGAGAATGGCAACCCTCGAATTAATTCAGTGTACTTTTATTGCTGAACTTTGCTCTGTTTCCCATATTTTTAATACCAAAAAAGTAGACTTTATCAAATGCTGTGCTTTATAGGATAGCACTAATTTATCACACACCGCGTGCAGTGCAAACAGCTCAAAAACTGTGAGCACCTCTATTGCTGTGAGCAACCAGATCGAGCCTTGAAGGAGCAGAATGAGGTTGGTTCAGCTCGTGATCGAGGTCTTTGCAATGAGACCTGCATGTGAAGTGAGGAAGCGGTGTGGTGATTTTTGCTTTTATTTAAAAAATGCCTATTAGAAGGATAAGTAGTTGAAAGTAGGAATGTGGTATTATGTATTTTAGTTTCTATTCCATTGCTAGTTCCAATGGTTTCTGCTGGAATTATGAATCCAGTAGATCCCCAGTTTAGTTATTGCTTGAAATAAAGGGTACGCTTGGCATTAGCTTTGCTCCACTCCCTGACATTAAGAAACCCTAATTAACATGAAAACAGAAAGAGTTAGGACAGCTCTGAGCACTTCTGAAAATGCCAGAGACACATGACTATATTTTCTAAGGCCACCTTCTATGGAGAGACTCATCTCTGTACTATCCCTGAAAGGATTTTGACCTTTTGAGGCACCATTTTTTAAGAAGTCTTCAGGAAATTGATAGAAATATATTTAAGTGGTTTAGAAACTACTCTTAAGATAGCCGTGAGGATGTAATAAATTACCTAGAATTACTTTAAATGGTTAAATTACTAAATAGTTAAGTGTGTTTACTTGAAGCTTGTTCATTGTGTTATGTCTTAGTTTGAAAGATCTATGAAACCAATATTATTATGTACAAAGGCCTTTTTCATAAAGGTTCAAAATATCTCCTGTTTTCTTAATAATCTGGAAAGTTGATCTCAGCAAAGGTGCTCCCCTTCTTTGGCAGCCCACTTGAGCTGGCTCAAGCACTCTGCCATTTCTCTGGGCTACTGCACTGGTTTTCGGGTTTTACAGTTGCTGCTTCCCACAGATTAAAGGTGAATTCTCTGCAAGAGTAGTCTTGGCCCAGACCCCTGAGCTTAGCAGTAACCTAGTGATGTTTATCTTCTTTTTGTCAGAAGAAGAGTATTTGTGCATTGAAATGGAGGCATGAAAGTCGCCTAGGTTTAGAGACTTTGGGTACCGGAGTTGGAAAACAAGCCTCCTGCTGTAGATTTCATGTGCAGTCAATGGAGAAGGAGACTCGGAGCAAGAACTGGCACCTGGAGGTGCTTATCTCTTTCCATTGGTTGTATAACGAGCTTCTTAAGCAGCCATTAGCTTAAATGCTATGAGCTGAGTTCTGCTCCAACGTCCCCTCAAGTTGGTCATTGCCCTTCTGTTGGGTTTTTGGGTTTAAAAGTGGCCATTTGACAGAGTAGAAAATTTTTCCATTGAATTCCAAAAAAGAATCTGCTAACGTTTGTATGTGGTGCCATCCCATGAGTGGTTGGTTGGTCTGCATCTCTGTACCCAAGGTAAACATCTGCCATCAGGTAAGAATGCAGCCAAATAGTGTTTTTAAACAAGCATTACATACAACGCTTACTAAATTCAAAGGCAGTTAATCTTATAGAGACCCCTGAGGAAAAGTCTCTAACTGCAGCAGCCCAAGAAATACGACTGGGCCAGCACTAAGGTATTGGCTGAACTCCTTTTTCTGCACTGCTTTTTGCAGTCCTTGGTCAGCACTATGGAGTGCCCCCCATCCAGTGGTATTTTCTTCAATCATCTTGAAATGGGATTTTTAACCTGGCTGAAAATCACTGCTGTTTCATTATCAACAAGTACTATACATTTTAATTAAAATTAGTGAAACTCCTCTTACTGAGGTCCCGCTGGAAAAGATAGGCTGGAGCAGGCAGTGTGCTAAAATTATGTTTACTATTATTTCTCCAATTAGTGTGTTGCAAGAGGTGAGGTACAAGCATTGCTAGAGCCATTCTACTTTGTAAATGTTTTTCCCTAGTTCAGAAGCCTTCCCAAACATTTCTACAGCAGTATGTGTTCCTCCCAACCCTGGATGCTGTCATCCACTGCAAGCCTGATATCCCTGATATCCCCATTTGCAATGTAATGACCAACCTGTGTGCCAGCCCCCCTCTGCCTTTCCATCCCACTGCTTCCAGAAGGAACTCCTGTTCTTTCACGTGTTCCTGCTTAAAGCTGCGTAAGAGGAATGACCAAGGAGATGTCATGGGCGGTGAGGAAACGAGTCCCCTTTTCTCTTTCAGCTCGGCTGCTGGAATCCTGTCACCGGCCTCAACGGCTCCCTGACGGACAGGAAGCTGGAGAACAACATGCGAGGAGTCGTCCTGCGCGTGGTGACCGTGCTGGTAAGCAGAGATGCTGACCGCGGTGCCCCGGGCGCCATGTGGTGTCTCCCTCTTGCCTCGTCCTCTTGTCTACGGGTAATTGGAAAGGATTTTCATTAAGTTACCAAGGGCTGAGACGCAGGCAGTGTTCGAGTGTCAAACTCCTGCTTGTCGATACTGGAGCAATGGAGTAATTTCCACGGAATAATATCATTTATCAATAAAGTTCATTTCAGGGTGTGAATTAAACACATTAAAACCTGTTTCTTCCACAGGCACATATTAAATTAGATAGCACAGCCGCAGGAACTGAAAAGGGCAACTTGAAGTGCCCTGTTAGCTCAGGTTCCCTAGCGGAGCCTCTAAATGATGCAGAAGATGTAGCTGCCTTCCAATTACTTTGCCAAATTGAGTGCAGCCTGACACAAATTGCTGCACTCAGAAAATGTTCAAGATAAGCTTAGGGTGAGTACTGTTAGTTCAGTAAAATATCTCCTGTCCCCTCTTCTTCCAGACGGTTTCTCCCCCCTTGCATTAAGTGGCTGCCGCAAAGCTGCTTGTAGAGAGTCAAAAAGACAGTGCGTGCTAGAAAAGGGTCCTGTTTTGTGACCTGAGGCCAGTGTATTCCCTGTCACCAACTTCCCTTTCCTTTGGCTACTTGAGCACAGATGGTTGTGAGTGGTGGGGAGAAAATAAAAGTGGAGCGGGGGGAGCGCTCGGGAGGTCGGAGCCTCTCTGGGCCTCGGCCCAAGCGCAGGGGTGACCCAGGGTTGAGAACCTGTAAAGGTCGTGTTGAGCTACCTGTGCCTTGGCTTGCTCAGGCTTTGCTTGCTGGAGCGACCTCCTGCTTATGAAGTCAAGAGCAGAGCACATGATTTCCATGGCTGGTTTGGCCTGCCAAAGGAAAAGGCTCTCTCAGGGCAGGAGGGTGCAATCGCTCGAGTGAGTGTGGGTGCTACTGATAGGAAGGTGTGCTTCCTCTTCAGTTATTTCGGGGCTCTATAAAAGCTATTATCTGTGAGCTGGTGGTCTGTGCCACCTCTCAGTACGCCAGAGCGCTTCCTGCCAAAAAATCTTTAAAAACACCCCAAAGCAACAACAGAAAAAGAAGAATGAATGCATGTAAAGAGACAAAGCGATACAGTTTTTCATACTTCAGTGTTTATTGCTTGTTCATTGAAATAGCATCATAGTGGCTGTATCTGCTCTTTGTGCTTTTTCTGATATATGTTTTAATTGATTCAGTATATCTCTCTGCTGACAGAAATGTTCCAAGACTGTTGTCTAGCAAAATCAATTGAAATTAGTGTCTTGGACAATTTTTCTTCTCCTCTCTCCCCACTCTGTTCTTCCAGTTTCATCCCTAGTTATCATTCTAGCTAGCTTACCCGACAGTATTCTTGTTTCAAGTCATTATATTATAAATATTTAGTATCTTACAAACATCCAAAGAAGTAATTAATTATGCTGGTGGGATTCTACACTACTAATACAAACACAAGACTGGCATGTAAAGCTCAGCCCGCATTACAGGGCAGTAAAGCAGGTTCGGAGGCAGCCCCTGTTCTGTTTTTTTTGGCACAGCCTTCAACTTCCAAGCTTGACTTTTGGAAACGACAGTGGTAAAATTCACTGTTTTGCTAACAGCTTCTTGTTTCATGTGTAATGTGCACTAAAGGCCGTAAATGAGCAAGATGCAAATGATTTATATTGGCTTTATCACATAAACCATAAATTGTGGAGCTTGGCAGGGCTGCTCGGTGCAGTTTTTGGTTCTTGGCAAAACTGTTTGTGAACTGCACTACAAACCAAGGTTCATTTAATTTTATGCCCTGAAGATCAGAGGCAGGGCTTTTGCAAGCGTAACGTGGTGAGGCAAATACTTAAAACCATGAACCAGAAATTTTATTTTTCCCTAGCAGTTCGCTTGACAGGATTGTAACATGAATGCTTTCCTCCAAGTGCCACAAATCTGGAGGACGGAGTATCATTTTTTTCCCACATCCGCAAATTCTAACGTGCAAAAGTGCAAGGCAGAGAGACACTGGCAGAAAATCAAGCCCCTGACTAAAAGCCTGAAGAGAAGTTGGGCAGTGCAGATGCCAGAAATGCACAACTGCTCCTTTCTAACCTCTGCCAGTTTAGTTAGCTGTTCTTTGCATAGCCACAGGTTTTGTAGGTAATGCAGTGCTGTTCAGGGGTTATCCTAGAGCAATTCCTCTTGACTAGTCTTGCAGAAGTGTAGGGGTTATTGGTGAAGAGATACCATCTTATTTTAGTCTGAGAATTAAAAATATGCCCGTCACGAGCGAGTTTTGACCTCAAATCAATTTCTTGCTTTCGGATAAATGCACATGGTTGTTACTTCTCGGTACTTGCGGCTTGATTCATGTTCTCATTCACAGAGCTTAGGATGATGGTAAAACAGTCTTTCTCTACTGGAACGTAAACGAGTCGATGCATACAGTATTCAGATACAAGTAAAATCTTATCTGGAAATGAAGCAAAGTCTTACGAATGATACTTTAATACTTGTTTCCTCTCATTTTAAAGTTAGGGATTTAATCCCTCTATTATTCAGTTTGTTCAATTTTATTAGAAAAACCTAATCAAAAGTGATGCTGTCTAGCATTAAATTAAGCAAATATTATCAAAGGCAAAATGCTATCTTTATTTTTGTGAAATAGAGGGAAAAAAAAGCTACAGTTTAGGGCAAAACTTATTATCTTTGAAATAAGTGGAGCTCGAGTAGAGCAAGACTGTACTGATGTACAGAAGTACAGTGCTCCTCTGGTGTGTTGATTAGGAGATTT